CAGGCATTGCCATTGCAACTTTGTTTGCCCACCTGGGCATCCTCTGATTTTGCACAGTGCCCATCTCTCCTGGGACCCGGGGGCCTGCAGGAGTTATCTGCAGTCAATTGGGGGACTTTACACCAGACTGGCTGTTTCCATAGAGGTGGGAAGGAAACTCAGTCTGGAAGGCCCTGCACTAAGTCCATTGGAAGGTCTGCTGTGCCCATGTTTTCACACAGCTGGAACTCAGTGAGCTGGGGAACTGACTGTGGTATTTGACACCAGGCCCTGTTCAAATGGACTTTGGAAGCCAGGACCCTGAGAGGGAGGGCTTTAATCTGGGGCCTAAGAAATGGATCTCCCCCTCCCCCTGCCCCAGTGTAGAGCAAGGAGTGAGAGTCTCCCTCTGCTGGGACTACTATCCAAGTGCCAGCCTTGACGGTGACCACTGCAATGGTGGAAAAGACCAGTAGGGAAGGTGCAGGCATTTGCAGCTGCTGTAATAGTTCCGTTAAAATTGCAACAAGCCTTTTCTCAGTAACTTTTGAGGTCACAGTCAACATTATTAACAAGGCAGGAGGAAATGGGTGAGGAATCAGGGGAATGGAGGGAAAGCACAAAATTTTAAAATAGCTGCACATAAAACATAAAACTTACTGATGAAGGTTATTATTTACAAGTGGGTGTTAGCCCACAACACTAAGTAATAAATTGGAACTCTTACTAGATATATAAGGTATATCCAAAATACAATCTAAAAATCATTTTACTTAATAAAATTCAAGCAAATCATTTGAAGCATTTAACATTGAACACAAAAAGTTTCATAGAAAATATTTGACTTGCAGTCTATGTCTTAAAAGAATCTAGCTTTATAGTCATACACTCCATACCCTTCCCCCACTGGGTGGCTTTGTTTTGCTTTTTTTTTTTTTTTTTTTTTTCCGTCACATTCTAATTCAGCTGGCATGAATGCCTTAATGGGTTTTGATTACACTTTAACCATCTGCACCACTGGCAATGGGAGAATTTTCTCTTTCCTTTTTGGGGTAAAAGACGATTGAGTGAAGATTTAAGGCTGGTTTTCTACTGAGACTAAGACCATAAGATAATACTATTAAACACACACCAGAAGCAAGCCTGCATGTGTGCATGTATGCATGGGTATATGTGTACACACACATACACATATACATGCGCACAACAATCCCTCTTTATACTGAGCTAGTTCTTAGGTGTGCTGCAGTAGAACAGGACAAGGGCAGAGGAAGGCACCTCTCCACTGAGACAAGGAGTGAGATTAGTCTCCCCAAATGAGCTAGTGATACTCTCAGGGTGCTCACAGATGTGTGGTGATTTCAAGGGTGAGGAACAAAGGCATCCCTTCCAGCTCAGCTATCTGTTCGGTGACAGTCTAGAACAAACAACCAAAGTAGCAACATCCAAACTACTATTGCACATTCTATATTACAAAGTAATTCCGGGTACATTTATATATTATGAAAAGCAGGCAGTGTGGTAAAGCACAAAACAGGGACTTTGAGGTCAGACCTGGGTTCAAATTCCAACTCTGTCCTTTCCTATCTCTGGGATCCTGGGTACATTGCTGAGCCTCTCCAGTCTCAGTGTCATACATCTGCGAAATGTAGGGGCTTTATCTACCTTGAAGGTTGTCCAATGACTTAACATAGGTCAAATATCACCTCAGAGAAGAAGTGTTCTTGGACCCCACCCCCAGTACAGCTCCCAGCACTCTGCGTTTGGTTGCTGATGGTGAAGTGACCATCTGGTCACCTCCCAGCCCACATTAGAGGGTTTTATGAGGGTAGGTCCATGTCTGAGCTTCCTCCCCATTAACCCCCAGTGCCTGGGACAATCTCAGGCACTTGCAGATGGTCAGTAAACTTTTGTTGAGTGAGTAAATAAGGAATTCCTAAGGCATTCAGCACAGTCTCTGGACTCCCAACAAGGAAAGATGCTCAATAAAGCAAAGCTTACTGCTTTACCTTCTCATTGAAATGGCCCAAGGTGAATTTTGCCCCATGGACACACAGCCTGTCTCCTGATCTCCTGGTTATGCCTCACTCAAGTTTGGGAAATGACTTTTCTGTGGGTCTCTGAGTTTTTATCTAACAGCTTTTATATCCTATTTTCTGGTTTGAAGACCTTATTCCAAAGGCCATTTCATCAGATCCCAGTATCTACTATGTAAAATGTTTTCTTGTGTTACTTCTTCTTCTTTTTCTGAGGAGAGTTTTCCACTTTACCCATGCAGGAACTTTTGAGAATTTAATTCCCTAGTTGATATTCAGCAAGAATAGAAGGAAGGGAGGCACAGAATACTTTCCTGTGGATAAATATGAAAGGTTATAGGCATGGATGGAGGTGGCTAGCAATGTTCTCCAGGCAGACCTGAAGCTTTCTTGGAGCAGTGTTAGAATTCAATGGTGCTCCCCCTATCTCCTGAAAAGTTCCACTTAAAATTAATATTTTTTGAACTTTTTAAAATTGCTACTAACAACTGAGGAGGCTACATATCTTTTATCCAAGCTTTAATCTTTCCTTCTAAATGAAGAGACTCAACCAGAGATGAAAGGAATATTTGGGTCATTATATCCAGAATGTACATGAATTATATTTTGGGAGTCAGTCTGGGTCTAATCTCAAATGTATGAAAGAGAACATGTTATGAAGTGTTTCTTAATCACAATTATTTAGAAAAAAAAATCAGTAAGTTGCTTTGATGTTAGGCCATTGAAATAAGATATTTTATGAATCTACTCTAAAACAGAAAGCAGAGGGAACATATCTGGAAATGCAAATGAAAGGAGGAAGAGATACTTCATTTAAATAAAGACTGGCAAATGTTTATCACGACAATGCTCCAACAAGGGCACTTATTGATGCTTGCAGAGGGACATAGGCAGCCTCCCAGGGTTGACAGTTCCTCACCAAACATGGCTTTAGATCCTCTTCAAGTCTACAGGGGAGTAATAAGTAAAAGTATCCTGTGGTGGTGATGTTCAGAAGGGTCACTATATGCTAATGAACATCCTTAAAAAATAACCCTGTGTTACTTTCCATATACAATTTTCTTCTAGCAACCTAACAGCTCTTGGCATCCCCCAAGTTCTACCCCTTGAGAGGACCCAATTGGTTCCTCATCTACTAAGAGATGGATACAATCTGTCAACAGAGGAAAATTGAAATACAGGGACCATGAGCACCTAGGGGGATAATACCTTCAGAGGGCTTTGGTGCTTTTGGAGACTAGATCACCAATCTAGAGGAACCTCACCAACATTGTGGTTTCCACATGTGAGATAAGGTTACCTTTGGGGCACAGATGGTTGACTAGACACAGCACAGTTCCTGGCATGCATGTCCTCATTATAGTCATGGACACACCACACAAATCTACAGTTGGGAAGGATCATCTGGAAGGAAAGGGCTCTTTAAATATTGATCTCACCCAAAATAATTCTGGGAATGATCACTGACTTTTTCCTCTTTCCAATTCTATATTCCACCAGGCTTTCTTTAGGTCTCCCCTATATGTGATGTCCTCCAGGCAAATTTATCTTGAAATTAGAGAAAGACTCTTTTTTCTTTAAAGTAAACGCTAAGTTTGACCCTAGCTAAACAACAATTTGGAAGACAATGCCATATTTCTACAGAGCGAATAGGCCTAAAATTATATTTTAATATATCTCAATTGAGTTCATGCAAAAAGATCTAGGAGTGAAAAACAAATCTCTAACTGTTTGAAAATCAAATCAATGTGTAAGTAGAATTTGTTTTATCTTTTTCATGCCCTTAAAGTAGGAAATAGGAGCTTCAGGAACACAACTGAGGAATCTCAGAGGCTTTTAGAGCTAAAATGGCCTTGAAGAGGATCTACTGCAACTACTTACAGATGGGGAAACTGAGGCTCAGAGAGGTTAATTGATTTGCCCACAAAAATACAATCTTTCATTACTAGACCCTGATTCCAGGAGAATGACATACTAAAAGGGGAAAATAATTGCATTTTCCTAAAGATAGCTTTCTTTGGCCAGTATCACCTTCCACCCTTGTAGTTAAACTGCCGTTGGGGGCAGCTGATGAACACATGGGCAGCTCTGTCATGAATTCAAATGTCATCTAAATGATGCTCATTGTTCCTCCTCTACAGGGATATTAGTTAGTGACATTGTCACTGGAATGAAGGGGTTTTCAGTCTGAGAATATGAAAAGCTACATGAGCTAAACATTGGAGAAGCTAAACATCTACAAAAGAGATAACTTGTACATCACCCCTCTTAGATTTTATAGCTGAGATGCTGTAAACCCCAGACCTAGGAGATGAAATTACAATTCTAAATATATTCTTTGTTCAACCTACAGACACCTCTGCCACTAAATGTCTTCCCGGGTTCTTGCAAAGGTCTTGGATTCTCATGAAATCGTGTCAGCATCTTCCATTCTAAGAGTTAGCTCATCTTTCACCAACTGTGCCTGCAGATACACAAGGTTTGCACCTAAAATTTCCCAGCTCTCCTAGGTTCAGTGGAGGTAGTTGATATGATATGTGAGGAGAGAAAAAATGTTTTTTAAAAATCAACAAGGTTGATCTTCTAGAAATTTTTTAGGCAAAAGTAAGGTGCTCAGAAAGGTAGAAAGAAATATATATATATATATATTACTTAAGAAACACATGAAAAATAAAAGATTTTGAAAGAGTTGGCCAATTTCATTCCACAGCTTTTTTTTTTTTATATTCTGCACAGCTTAGTGCCTACAGTTTCAAAGTCTTCACTCAACCTGGAATTTACATTTGAATCTTTCCCAAGTTATATCTGTAAATGAGACCAGCTCAGTGATTGAGTTAAACCCCTTGTATCACTAAACAAATTATGTTATTTATCCTGAACAATTTTCCTCAACAAGTACTAAAAAGACACAATTTCTTAAAAAGCATGAAATTTATAGACTTCTGGCTTGGAAAGTGGCTTCTCATTGGAAAAGAGATGAACATTAGAGAGACGAAACTATGAAAAACAACAGTCATAAAATGGAATCACTCTGCGTTTCAACTTTCTCCCCCAAGACATCCATGTGGCTGCATAGTGAGCAACTGAGAAGTTGCTTGCAGTTCCCCATCCAGGACCAAAATTATTTGGTCACAAGGAAGGATTCTACTAAGGAAAGGAAACCTCTCGTCACAAACTGTCTTGCAGTTTTAAATTCACCCCATTGTGGCATTTTAAATTCTGTGTGTAAAAAATAAAAACAAAAAAACCTTTCTCTATCTTCTTCCTAGTTAAAGCTAGAAAGGGTAATGGAGAGAAGACCCAACCCCACTGGGTGAAGTTGAGCACTAGACACCCACAAACCAAGCATGGTTCCTAGGAGCTGAGTCACGATAGTCTCTGTGTAACCGGGCACAGGCCTGCTGCCACAGTTCTGGGAGTGTCCATGGCCACCACATGTAATTTTTCTCTTGACTGCTCTCTGGGCATTTTACCTCTCTGCACGGATTTTGTACCTCAGGACAAAATAAGCAATGAGGCGCAAGGAGATGAAGAAAATTCCAAGGACAATGAAGTCCAGGTATAGCTTGGCATTTTCTACATCCAGTTCTCTCAGGATGGCCTCCGACTTCTGAAAGTGGCATGTCTCATCAATGTCACAGTGCAGGTCTTCTCGATCGAGGCCATAGATGGAGAGAATGACACCTTCAAACCCGTACCTATAACAGAAAGCACAAGCATGAAGCAGGACTCCAACCAGCCAGCCAAGCTGACTAACCCACACTCCCTGATTCTTGCCTCCATTTGTTGAAAGAAAATCTTCCTGTGACTCTCTGCCTGGCTTTCCTCCCTCCACAAAGGGCTTTCTTCATCAAAACACATCCTCACCTTTCAACAACTTCCTGAGGTAAACACATTCAACAGCTGCACTATGTTTTTTCCAATGCTGTTTCCTCCAGAGCTCCCAACCACTGCCACCACCACCACAAAAACTCAAATTGTATAAAGAGTAGGTACTCACTCAGTGGTGAAATGAATAGAAAAATATATGAACCTTTTCTGATATTATATCATTTTTACCAGTTAGATATCACAAAGGCTCTAACAGCTTTCCAAGGACTTTGGAGTATTTAATAAAACATCTTGGTACCCTATACTGTTCTGCCCCACCCCTTCATTGTCAGAACAAAAACACTAATTTTGAGAAGAAAGCTGCTGGTTTCTGATTTCTTAGTATTGGAGAGCATACAGACTGCTGAAATTCTGTACAAGGGCTTTGTTTTGATTTTGTTTTTCTGAACAATATACCTGGGTTTGAACTGACATTCTAGAAAAGAAGAGCTTGTTCCCAACTTCAGATCTTTGGTGTCACGTGGAATCACTACAGCTATGGGAGAAATGGTCTAAAGACGGGCATTGCCAAACGATGGGCCAACATGCCAAAGACCCATTGGGCAGAGAGGATGGAACCTGATCATTTAAATGCCTTTGGCACTAGAACATTCTTGTTCAAAGATATTAGGATGTTTAAAACATGACTTATTTTATTTTCCCCTGGATTTCTTATTATGGTTTACAGACACCTGGAATGTTATTATAAGCATTGTTCATTTCAAAAAGTAACGTGGAACTTACTCAAAGGGGTGAAGTTCCTAAAACACTCCCTTCCTAAAGCTGCTCTGTCAAATACCCAGAATGTGGGAGTACAAAGTGCTTTTTCAGGGTGTGAATGGCCAGTGTTTGTTTTACCCTTGTTTTTTTGTGTGTGTGTTGGTGAGGGTGGGGACCCACACAGCAAGGAAAAGAATAAAAGTCATCAATACCCTTGTGACCTGCATTTAGCTGATGGCCAAGGAGTAGCTTTTGTGAATAGCCATACGTTAGCCACAGGCCCTTCTCTCTGTCATCATGTAATCTCTGGATTACAAAAGTCCCATCTGGCCCTCCCATACTACCTGACATAGGAAATGTAGGACATCCACTGCAGGTACGTGGGGATGGTGTCAAAGCTGACGAAAAATCCGGAGAAGAGGAGGACTGGGATGGCAGTCACAGGGCCCACGAAGGTCGCTACCTGGGAGTGAAGCGGGAACACAGGAGAACTTACTCCAAGGAGACAGGCAGGAAGTCCCACCCACTCCTCCTCAAGATGCCCCTGGTGGCCATTTTCTGTATAGTTCATGACCAGTTGCACAGGATGACACCCTAAAGGGCCAGGGTCCTAAGGATGGATTGACACAAGAACCAAGAAGGCAGCCAAAAAAGCGTATTTTTCCATCTTGTAAAGTGCAGGCAGTTTGGTCTTGCATAGGGCAAGGATTATGTTTTTATGCCTAGATGAGTCAGAGGAGGTTGAGAAACCAAAGTAAATAAATAAATAAATACATAAAGCTTTCACTGAAAAGCAGAGGCAGGGTATCTTCTGGGAATGGTAATTAGGTGCACTTAATTAAGCACAGGGGAGAGTGTCTCCCTGAGGAGCTAACAATTAAGTAGTATCACTGTGTCTGACAAGCCCCCTCTAGAGGCAAAGGCACAGCTATCTGCCCTGCTATGACATCCACCCACAGGTCTCCAATAAGCCTCCATTAGACTGAAGGCAAGCAGGTTGGAAAACTTGAACACTGTCCCCAAGCCAGGCTGACAGTCTTTCTCACTGGAGACCCATGAGAGTAGACATGCCTCAAAGGTGAGACTTCTCAGCACTGGACCCCAGGTTTCAAATAGTATTTAGCGTGTAGTAGGCACTCAGCCAATATTTCCAGAATAAATGGGATAAACTGGATTTCATCATGCATGAATGGAGCTCTGTGAGGGCAAGCTGCCACGGGATGAATTACCACCCCCAACTCCATGGTAACTCTTGCCTTTAAAACCAAAAAAGAAACCCAAACTCACTGCTGTCAAGTCAGATCTGACTCATAGTGACTCCTCCTTGGGTTTCCGAGGTAGTATCACTACAAAAGTAGCTTGCCCAATCTTCCTTCTGAGGAGTGGCTGGTGGGTTTGAACTGCCAGCCTTCTGGTTAGTAATCAAATGCCTTAGGTACTACACCACCAGAGCTCCCCTTGCCTTTAAAGTAGAACAAAAATCTAGTAAGATGTTGTGGTGCATACGTGTGTGAGTGTGTGTCAATGTGCATGTTTGAGTGTGTATGTGAGTGTACAGTATGTGAGTGTGTGTGTGAGAGAGCATGTGTGTGTGTGTGAGTCCATGTGTGTGGATGTATGTAATATGTGATTGTGTTCATGTGTAAGTGTGTATGTGAACTGTTGTATTTTGTGGGTGGGTGTAATCATTGTGGGTATGGTTTGTGAATGTGTGTGTATGTGTATGGTTTATGGGTGTGCAGCCTTGTAAACAGGAACATCACAGATGGTGCTGAGTATACATGAAGCCCCAAAGGAGGGCTGATGAGTCTCCCAAGGGCCAGTGGGGCTGGCTCTTTGGAAGGTATCATTGAGCAGATTTAGATTTGAGAGGTAGATTTGAACCTTAATGGGTAAGTGGTGGCTTTCCAGGTGATTCTGGGCATGCCAGACTGAGGGATTAGAGAACAAAGGACAGCATACCTGAGGTGTCCCTGTCAGCAGGTATTTTTTAGTGTGGCTGGTGGTGGAGATAAGGCTGAGTGGGCCAGGAAGCCCTGAGGGTCAGAGCATGAAGGACACTGTGCTCATAGTGGGGACTGTCTTGTGGTCTGTGGGGGTCCTGAGGGTGGCTGTGTGGGGAAGGCAGTGGGAAACCCTGGAGATAAATGCCTGCACAGTTTGGGCAGCAAACACTTGCAAAATGCTTGGTGGTATGTGCCAGACGTTGTACAGGGCTTTGGAGACAGTGTTAAACTAGATAAAGTACCTGCCCCTATGACGAAAAACCAGCAACTTTCAACCACAAGGCAAGTTTGAGGGCAGGGATGTGGGGCAGGCAGACCAAACGAGAAGGCCCTGACTTGGGGGCAGGAACTGGAGTAGCAACTGGGCCGTGAGATCACACCAGACCCAGGGAGGGAAATCCACCTCCCACCTGGTTTGCTAAGACCAGCACAGACCACAGAGGAAAACCCTGTCCTACTTTTTCTTTAAAAGCCACATGGCATCTGACTCCTGACAAAGATGTACTGAGGCCCTCCTCTAGGCAAGGTGTTAGGAGACACTGCAAAGGAGACCATGGTGAGGGGTTAGATGGTGGGTGTTGTGGAAGGAGGAGCAAGGAGCACCATGTCACAGGTGCTAACTAGGGGTTCAAGCACCTACACGGAGTATCATATGTAGTCCTCATCACAATCCAAAACCCAAATCTGTTGCTGTTGAGTCGATTCTGACTCATGGTGACTCCCAGTGCTGCAGAGTAGAACTGCTCCATTGGATTTCCTTGGCGGTAATCTTCAGGGAAGCATGTTGCCAGGCCTTTTTCCACAGTGCTGCTGGGTGAGTATAATCTGCTAACTTTTAGACTAGTGTTCAATCAAACATGATCCATATCACTGTGATTCCCATTTACAGATAGGAAACTGAGGCCCTGGAGGTTAAGTAACTCATTCATTAGGGACTGTGGAGATGAAACAAGAATACTGGCACACCAGTGAGGAAGGGGCAGAGGGACTCAGGTGTCCTCACTTACCAAGAGTTCTTTTTTAAGAGGATAGGATTTCTAAGAATCCTTGTGGTTACAGAGGAAGGAGCACTGAAGTGAAAAGTTGGAAATCCACAAGGCTGTGGCGTATTGGGGGTCAGGAGTCGTACCAGGAGTCTTGGAGGTGAGGAGGAGGAGGAAGGGCCATGTGGAATCTGGGGTATGAGTGTGTGTGGAGTGTGCAAGAATTACAGGGAAGGTCTGAGGGCTGGATGAGTGGATCACATGGAAGCAGCAAAACACAGGCATGGGACCCCAACCAAATCACTTGAGCTCTCTGGGTCTCAGTATTCCCACCTGCAAAGTTGGGATAGTACAACAACACTTGACTTATGGGATGTGGTTAGGAGTGTGTGAGTTAATATGTAGAAAGTCCTGGAAACAGCACCTGGCTTAAAATACGTACCACGTAAGGGAGTTCCAGCAGTCCCTAGGTGGCATAAATGGTTTGTGCTCAACTACTGACCTAAAGTTGGTGGTTTAAAATCCCTCTTCTAGTGGTACCATGGAACGAAGCCCTGGCAATCTGCTTCTGTGAAAATTATAGCCAAGAAAACTATACAGAGAAGTTCTGCTGTGCAACATATGGGGTCGCCATGAATTGGAATCATGATGGCAATTGGTTTGGTTTGTTTGGTTTTAGAAGGGAGTCCCTAGCTGGTACAAATGGTTTGCATGCCTGGTGGCTAATCAAAATGTTGGTGGTTCAAGTCCACTCAAAGGTATCTTGGATGAAGGGTCTGGGAACCTACTTCTGAAAAATCAGCCACTGAAAACCACACATAGGGTTGCCATGAGCCTGAGTCAACTCGACAGCAATTGACTGCAACGGAACCTGCAGTCATCATTACCCACTGTAAATCTGCCAGTCCTGACTGGCCAAGATAACATGACTCCTTCCTATGAGAACAGCCTCAGAAAGCCAGGCTAGGAAGTTCAGGGCAAAAGGGGACAAAGGGGTCCAGGGAGGAGGTGGTGGCCCAGGGAGAAGGGCCTGGCTTATAGTGTCCTCTTGGCCAGTACCTGCAGGGATGTGGATGCAGCCCCAATGAGCAGGCCCAGGGATTGGGCCACAAGCGATGTCATGGTGCCCAGGGCGGCAAAAAGGACGAAGCGCACAGCGTCACTTGGCTGAGAGGTCATCCAGTACACGATGCTGCAGTAGGCCACTGGGAACATGATCTGGGGACATAAAGCACATGACTGCAGCACTCAGTTGCCACCCCATAAACCACTGGGTTCCTGGGCAGTGCATGCTTCACCCATGGTTCTATGAAGGTCCACCATTGAGAAAGCCATGTCACACTGCTGCATCCCTCAACTGACCCCTCATATAGGAATCAGGGTCCCTGACCCCACTCTATAGGGTACAAATGAAGCATCCATGGTCTCTCTTCAAGTGACATCCTCCTTCACTACATACCTGAAAGGGGACATCAGCCATGGTCTTGGCTAGGTAGTAGGCCTTCAGGCTGTACCAGTAATTCAGATGCTCCCGAAGAAATACTCCCATCTCTAGAGGAACTATGAGAAGAGGTAAATGAAAAAATGAGTTCAAGTAGACAGGCCTGGCATGACAAATATTTAAAAAGGACAGTCTTGTGCTGAGCGACTCCTAACCCCATTCTGGCCTATGTCCCAGTGTGGACCCTACAATGCTTGAAGCACATAGAATTTGAGCCAGAAAATATGAAACATTTTACCAGCCTTGGTGGCACAATGGTTAAGTCCTTAGCTGCTAACTGCAAGGTTGGAGGTTTGAACCCACCAGCCACTCTGTGGGAGAAAAGACTTGGCAATCTGCTCCCATAAAGATCAAAACCAAAAAAACCAAACTCACTGCCATCAAGTTGTATCCGACTCATAGTGACCCTTCCTTGGATTTCCAAGGTGGTATCTCTACGGAAGTAGATTGCCCAACCTTCCTTCCAAGGAGTGGTGGTGGGTTTGAATCACCAGCCTTCTGGGTAGTAGTCAAATGCCTTAGGTGCTGTGCAACCAGAGCTTCCCCATAAAGATTACAGCCTGGTAAATCCTATGGGGGCAGTTCTACTCTGTCCTGTAGGATAACTATGAGTCAGAATCAACTCAGTAACAGTGGGTTTTGGTAGGTTGGATAATGGTGAAATGCTTGTTTGAACCCACCAGACACTCTGTGGGAGAAAAGATCCAGTGATCTGCTCCCAAGATCACAGCCTAGGAAACCTTATGGGGCAGTTCTACTTTGTCCTATAGACTGGCTATGAGTCCGAATTGACCTGTTGACACACAGCAACACCACCCGCACCCTGGAAGAATTTCCAATCATTTTACAGTCTGAAGAGTCATTGAGTGGAGAGTCATAGCATGAAGAACATCTACACGAATATTGAGCATTTAGTTATTCACTAAATCTTGTTGTTGTTGTTGTTATGTGCCGCCAAGTCAAACCCGACTCACCGATCCCTCCTTGGGTTTCTGAGGTGGTATCACTACGGAAGTAGATTGCCTGACCTTCCTTCCAAGGAATGGCTGGTGGGTTTGAACCACCAGCCTTCTGGTTAGCAGTCAAGTAACACTGCTAGTGTTACTCTTATCGAATTTGCCTCTCCTGAAACTGTCACAATGTTACTCCTTCTCATAGTCAAGACCTCCCAAGCTGGTCTTGGAAAGTCAGAGCAATTCTGAGAGAAGGCATGGTTGGAAGGAAGTGTTTATACTGGAACTCTGGTAAAGTAACAGCTTTCTACACTATTAGCTTCAATTGACCAAGGGGAGACAACATTGGGAGCAAATTAGAATTACATGGAAATCCATCTATAAGAGCTTTCCCCCTCACTGTGATGGCCATACTAGGGCTATTTTAATAACTGAACTGTTCTTGTCAGTTGCCTCTCACTTGGTGACCCAATGTACAATGGAACAAAATGCTGCCTGGTCTTGTGTCATCCTAATAATGATAGTTTGAGGATCAGATCATTGTGATCCAGAGTTTTCACTGGCTGGTTTTCAGAAGTAGATTGCCAGGTTTTTCTTCCACATCCATTGTAGTCTGGAACCTGTTGAAAGTTGTTCAGCATCATAGCAACATTCAAGCCTCAGCTGATAGGTGGTAGCTGTGTAAGAGGTGCACTGGCCAGGAATTAAACCTAGGTCTTCTCCATGGAAGGTAAGAATTTTACCACTGAACCATCTCTGCCTCCATACTGAACTAGGTAATGCTTAAGTAGTAGAATTTGAAGGGCTCCTAACTAGTGTACCTTTAAGAAATATCTCCCCATCAGCCTTTCTACCATGCTTAAAAGTCTTCCATTAGCAATGTTTTCCTTTGGCTTAAATAATGCATTTTCTTGTCTAATAGCAAACATAGTAATACCTACATCCATCAACAAAAAAGATATTATTCAGAAAAGTAGGCACTATGCTTTCAGAAAATTGACCTATTGGTCAAATTATGCTTCAGTTCCCCATTCTTGGGTACGAACCACAGATAACAAAGGGAATATCTATGATCATAACTCACATGTGAGAACAGTGGGCATGAGGGCAGCGAACATGAGGAACAGCATGGAGAAGAAGAGGAAGCCAGAGTTGCTGAGGACTTTCTTGGCTTCATTCCCAATCCCCAAATAGAGCAGGCCAATGAGAAGGCCAATTCCAATGTGTGAGGTAATCCGCAGGTGTGTCAGGACCTGGGGACAAACATAGTTTTTACACAGTGTGTGTATAAGTTAGGGCTGGGAGGTCCACAAGGACAACAAGGCCAAGGCCTTCCGAAGCACTGGAATTTGAATTCTGTAACAGGTTTTATGCTTCATCCTGCCCCTCTCCTCCAGAAAAAAACAAGCTCCAAACCCTAAACCATTTCAAACCTATACACAGACACATACACACGTGTACATACATGCACAATGCAGGATTTTGTTGCTGTTAAAAGAAAAGTAATAATTTCCCTTTGTTAAATCCCTTTCAAAAATGGCAAACCAACAAGGGTAGTCTGTTTTGAGAGAAGAAATGAAAATGATGGTGGGGAGGGAGGCAAAGAAAGGATAGACCAAAGGACCACACTGAAAGAGCTCTGCACTCTTCAAATCAGGTCCCAGAGGCCCCACTGAGCATTCAGACCCTCCTAGGCTGGTAGCCAGATTGTCCACTTTAAATGGTGGGTACTATTATGGTTCCCCATTATCAATTGTTCCCTCTTCCCTTTCTGCAAGGGATTACACACCCCATACACTGCCTTGTGGTCTGCAATCCTTTACTGAAGAAGGAATATACTTCCCCATTTCCCTTGTGTCAAGAGTAACCATGTGACTTGTTTTGGCCAGTGGAACATGAGTACAAGTGACAACTGACCACCTTTGAGAGGAAGACTTTAGAGCCACCACTTGGTTTCTTTCTTCTACTTTCCCTTTGCCATGAGAAAGGCATGGTCCAGAAAGCGGGTGTTCCTTTATTTTGGGTTCCAGAATGAGAAGACACATGAGCAGAGCTACAACCAACCCAAAGCTACCAACATGTAACAAAAGCAAGACATAAATATTTACTGTTGTCAACACTGACGTGTTGGGTTTGTTTGTTATGGCAGCATAACAGAGTGAAAGCTGATTAATACAAATGAAGGAAAAACAATCCAACAGTTCATTCAGGATGAGCTTCCATAGCCATGAGAGTACAGTTTAAAGCACTCTTACCGAGTCCCTCATGATGCTGAGGAATGTCCTTTTGAAGAGGATGCAGAACTGTGTGAGGCAGCTGGCTGAGAAGCTGTGGCAGCCTTCCATGGAAGTGGAATCCTAAGGACATATCCAAAAAAGGAGATGAGGTGAAACTCCAACCCCTGGTCCACTGCATCTTCTCTAAGAAAGAGTCATGCAGCCGGGTGCAAAATGCAGCATGCAGCTCTCCCTGGGGAGGTTATGGGATTTGTATTACCTTTCTCAACCCCTTTAATCGTTTTGCCTGCTTTACCTCTTCAGAGGGCCGGTGCCAAAGAAAAGGGTTCACCTCGGCATCACCACCAAGGTCTTTCTTGTAATCGGAGTCGCACATGCCCTCACGAACAGCTCTCACCAGGCGGCTGTTCTGATCGCCGTACTCGCCAGATGCAACCTCCATAACTGCACAGAAAACAGATGTGGGGTCAGTTCCAGGTGCCTGGCAAGGTGGGGGCACTGATATTGCTAATATGTATTGTGGGTCACCAAAACACCAGTTGCCATTGAGTTGACCCTGACTCATGGTGACCCACATGTGTTAGAGCAGAATTGTGCTCTACATCGTTTTCAATGGTTCATTTTTTGGAAGTAGAACACCAGGGCTTTTTTTCTGAGGTGCTTCTGGGTGGACTCTAACTTCTAACCTTCCAGTTAGTAACCAAGCATGAGCCCACAAACTGGGCACTACCAGGGACTCTTAATTTTGCAGCTACAAAGTCATTATTATAGGGGGAAAGAAATAAGCAGGAATGATTTTAAATGATTAGGTAGATGCCAAATGATGAGGATAATGTCAAAATCATGCACCAACCAATGTTAGACTCTAAAACCCATAGTGAGGCCATTGAGCATGTCAGGAAGCAGGAAATGCAAAGGTTGACACCTACTCTTCATTTATTGACATAGGTTCCATAAACAGATTGTTATGTGAATTCAGTGTATGCAAGAGTGAGGGGCCGGGCCCCATCTTCAAAGCCAATGTCTTCCCTTCCTCCTCCTTCTGTTGCTTACTGCTCACTGGGTGCTTCTGGCTTATCTTGGGATGCATGTGGTGGAGTGGGGCCCCTGTTCTCCATCACTGTGGTGCACAGAGGGGTTGGGGGCAGTGATGGTGGTGGTATTAGGGTATTTCCTGCTGCCAGCTCTTAGTGGGGATGCCACTTTCCGCCATGCCATCAACCCTGAGTGGGAACCCTGTCCATCTTCCATCTGACTGGGTCCCACAGCTCTGTGTAGGTCCCCTCCCTCTTCCCTCCTTCCCACCTTCTCCCACTGACCACCCTGGCAACTTCAGGCCCTCATCGGGCCTCCCCTTGCTTGCCAGTGACCTCATGGCATTCCACTGTCTCCCCATGCTGTTTGCTTCCAGAACAAGACATCATGGAGAAGTATTCCATGACTGATCAGCCACCTTCCCTCGGATGGCCTGGTCATTGCCAAAGCCTCTAGTATATCATTTGGGGAGGCCTGGTTGCAACCCCACCTGGGGCCCTGACCATCTGAGAAGTTGCCTGAAAATTTTTTCAAAGTTGTTGTAAATGCAATATGTTGGATAAGTTGATAAGTAGTCAGATAACTTCTAGATAAGTTGGATAGTTGATAAGTACACTGTGAAGTCAGAGTTTGAGGAATCACCTGCTCACGCATCTGTAAATTTATTCACTCATCTTAAACTTATTACCTATTACAACAATGTGATAGTTGGTACTGGGGAGATAAGCAGAATTCCTGTTAGAAGAGCTCCCAGCTTAGTGGGATGAGTGATGAGGGCAGTTTCACAGGACCACAGAATGCCTGAGGCCAGGATTAGCCCCTCTTCACCCTTCACTTTCACCACTCACTCCCACCATCACATCTCTACCCTGGGCTTCACTCAGCTTACTTCCTCTCTAAAATCATTAACTGTGCCAGTGACATCACATCCTCTCCAGCCAGCTGGCTTGTTCAGCCACTCCCATGATGATGGCTCTTCCAGTCCACTGATCATGGATTTCCTCCTGGTCCTCTTCTCTTCTTTTCCCTACTCTCCTCCTCATGCAGCATCCCTCACTCCAATAACTCTCTTGCTAATCTTCAGGCTCCCTCATCCTCTCATCATTTTGTCACACCTCTCTGGCAAAGCCAGCTCTCTGCTTTCCCAGAGCCTGCATCAGGGCAGCCAAGCACTTCCAATAAAGTCAAACACCAAGACACTGTGGCTCACTAGAAACTCATCATCAACAACCTCAAAAATGCCCTTATCACTGTAGGCCATCTCTGCGTGCCACCCTGACACATGTTACTGCTGCTTCCCACCTGCCATATTCCTCTCAGCTCCTGCCCTCCCTTCAGATGCCTGGAACTCTGATCTTCACTGAGAAACTGGAGCTCCCAGAGGAAATATCATCTTTCAGGATCTCTCCCCAATTCCATGTGTGATATTTCTTTTCCTTTCCGTCCATCTTCCCTCTAAGGTCTTACCTCCTTGCAGGCTTAGGGTCTTCCCCACCCCTACTTCAGGAGCACTATGTCACCAAATGTACCTTCTTCTCTTCTAGATCAATATGCAACTATCAAAGCAATCCTTCCCACTGATTTTTCCATGAACTTCAAGTTACATCCTTCCAGTTGACCACCTTCTCTCCTCCTCTCATAGCCTACTCCTTGTTAGTGAGCAGTATCTCCCAGAATAGTCCTGTGTGACACCATTTGGAAAACAGCACAGAAAGTATGAAGATCTGGTAGTGGCATGTCCAAATGTTTTTGAGAAAAACAACTGAGCAGGAAAGGCTGATGGCAGAAAGACTGAGGAGAGGATGACAATGACAAAAGCTTGGACTCCAAGCTCAAGACCAAGGGGAATAGAGGTAGGAGTGAAAGCCTTTGACTATCTAGTAAATATGAGAAATCAGAAGGGAATCCAAGGGCTCCTGCTCAGAGAGCTGGGAAAGAAAGATGCTGTTAACTGAGAACAAGATCAAGGAGTTGGTGGTTCAGTGGTGAAATTCTCACCTTCCATGTGGGAGAGCTGGGTTTGATTCCCAGCCAATGTACCTCATGCACAGCCACCACCCATCTGTCAGTGTGTCAGGCTTGTGTGTTACTATGATGCTGAACAGGTTTCACTGGAGCTTCTAGACTGAGATGGACTAGGAAGAAAAGCCTGACTATCTATTTCTGAAAATCAGCCAATAAAAACCCTAAGGATCATATTGGTCCAATCTAGAACCTGTCATTGGGATAGTACAGGATTGGGTAGTATTTCCTTCTGCTGTGCATGGGGTCACACCATGCACTGGGGCCAACTCAACAGCATCTAACAACATTAACTGAGACCTGAAGCACAGAAGGAACTTCAGCAGATATAATGGGAGGAAAAGAGTGAGTTTGGTTTTGGTAACTTAGGATTTGAAAGAACTACAGATTGTGTTGACAGATATGTCAGGGAGTATAAAGCAGAGTGGGTGTTGGGGATAGAGACTGGTTGGTCACTGGCATAAGTGATGTTTTATAGAAGAGTAAATGCCTTGGAAGGTGTGGACAAGGAAGAGAAGAAACCAAAGATGGAACCTTGGGCCATCGTGATGGTGTTGAGGTTTTGAACTGTAAATATGGTGAGCACAATACAAGTAGCAGTCCCTGGGTGGTATATATATTTAACATATTGGGCTGCAAACCAAAAAGTGGAGGTTCAAGTCCACCTAGAGTCACTGGAAGACAGGGCTGGTGATCTACTTCTGAAAAATTAGCCACTGAAAGCTGTGTGGAGCACAGTTCTACCAATACACCTGGGGTTGCCAGGAGTTGGAGTAGACTGCAGGGCAAGTAGGTTTTTTTGGTTGGTGTGCAAACAGTGATGAGAGTTTGAGGCTAGGTATGAAGGCCAGCCAATCTTGGGGCCTCTCTTCAAGAGACAGGAGCTTAGATAGTTAACTTCATCTCTGGACTCCAAGGGTCACCTTTGTTGTTGTTGTTTAATGCTCTGTCAAAATTTAAATAATCATTTTTGCATTTCTTTTAATCAATGCAAAAAAGACTGCTTAAAGCATAATGCAATATTTTATTTAGTTTTCCTTTTTTAGAAATAACTTCTATCAAAATGGGGGCCTAATAAAGAATTGTGTAAGGAATATTGCTCCTGATACATAGCTGAAGAGCCATGGTGGCACAGTGGCTACAGCACTTGGCTCCTAACTGAATGGTCAGTCGTTTGAACCCACCAGCCACTCTGCAGGAGAATGATGTGGCGGTCTGCTTCTGTAAAGATTTACAGCCTTGGAAACCCTATGAAGCAGTTCTACTCTGTCCTAGAGGCTCACTACAAGTTGGAATCGTCTCAACAGCAATGGCTTTCAGTAACATGTAGCTCCTTTGTTATGGTTTCCAGATATTTTTGTCTGGAAGAAGAGAATCTTCTTTTTCTGTTATTGAAACCTCCACCACAGGAAGGCACTTGAGCCATTTGTGGGATATTCAAGAAATTCCTGATTCTGAGCCAAGGGACAAGTGGTGACCCACAGAGAGTGGGAAAAAGTCCTATTCTTTTTTGTCCAGATGCTTGAGGTTCTACTCACCAAAGTCTGCTGGGTTGTGGTAGGTTGGGCAGTTCAGGCCTAAATCTCTCAGGTATGGGACAAGATTGGAGACTTTCCCCCGATACACACACTGTCCTTGACTTAGGACGTAAAGCTGAAATAAAATGAGAGGAAAAACATCAATGCCTGCCTCCCTGCATAAAGCAACAGGAACTCTCAATTAATCTCAGTCTCTCTGTCTATTTCTTTGTTTCTGTTTCTCTCACTCTATATCTATCTCTATCTCTCCCCTTATTTCTCTTGCTATGTCTCTCCCTCTCTGTCTACATTAATTGCTCTCCTCTCTCTTTAAATCTCTTTCTCTGTCTCTGTCACTCTTGCCTTCTCTTCCTCTTGTTAGAGCTATCAGTTACCTCCCAAGGACTCTGATAAGTTCAAAGGGAAATTCACAAGATAGAGACGACTAAAGATATGTGGACAGAGATCATGTTATTATATTGCTTTCTTTTTCCTTTTTGTCACTAGCCACCTGATAAAAGAGTTCTGGTGGCACAGTGTTTAAGCATTCAGCTGCTAACCGAAAGGCTGGCAGTTGGAACCCACCAGCTGCTCTGTAGGAAAAAGGTGTGGAAGCTTGCTTCCATAAAGACTACAACATTGGAAACCCTATGGGGCAGTTCTACTCTGTCCCATAGAGTCACTATGAGTCATTGTGACTTGACAGCATACAATAAAAACCTGCTTAGAAAAGATTTTGAAATTATACAGATTTTATCCCTTGGAATTTTTTTTTTTCTAGTAACAATCAAAACCAAAGAGTTATAAAATAGAGTCTATTGTACAAATATTATAACCTTTCACTTAATTCTGTAAAATAGGTATGTCCTCCAATTTTAACAGAAGAAGGAATGAAGTCTCAGTAATGTTAGTGACTTTCCCCAGATCCTGTAGCCACCAGCAATGGCTGAGAGTGGACACCACCAGTTCTTCCTGCTCCCCCAACCACCCTAGCTACTTATGATTCCTAAGTACAATAAAATGTAACACCAAGGCCACTCAAAAATGATGATAACTGACAAGAAATAACCCAGGCCAGTGCATACTGGGATTTGTTTTCACTTAGCCTAGTTAGCCAAGAAAAAAAAAAAAAAACAAGAGCCAAGCTAACCAAACAAAGAAAAAACCCAGTTGCCATCAAGGTGGTGCAGTTAATGCACTCAGCTGCTAACCAATAGGTTGAATGTTCGAGTCTACCCAGAGGTGCCTTGGAAGAAAGACCTGGTGATCTACTTGCAAAAAATCAGTCATGAAAACCCTACGGGGCATACTTTTATTGTGACACATAGGGGGTCACCAGGAGCAAGAATCAACTGGATGGCAACTGGGTCTTTTCTGTTGCTATTATTGTTTTGTTTTTCATTTAGCTTTTTATTGTGATTTGAGTGAAAGTTTACAGAGCAAATTGGTTTTGCATTCAACTGTTCATACATGTTTTGTTGAGTGACACTGAATGCAGTCCTCACAATGTGACAGCACAGTGGGACTGGGCAGCTCAAGGTGTGGGGGTCAGGCCAGTTTACCTGGTCAAACAGTTCGAAGAGCTTGGCACTAGGCTGGTGGATGGTGCAGATGATGGAGCGTCCTCCTTGAGCCAGCCCTTTCATCAGAGAGACCACCTGGAAGCAGGAGGCGCTGTCCAGGCCACTGCAAGTCAAGGGCACTGTGAGACCCAGTGGGCAAAGGGGCCAAACCCACTGCCCCAGGAACTCTGTGACCCAGGAGGGCTTGGGAACAGAGACCTTCGGCTGCTCTGGGCTCTCCCCAAGATCCTGCTCTGCTTCACTGCTGGTTTTTTGCCAGAGCTCCCAATGTGGACTGTGTACATGGTATTTTATACTTGACAAGGGCAGAGGGAAAGAGCCCTGCAATTCTTGCTGAAGGAAGTGAGGATGGGAATGATGGGGAAGTCATATCTGTCCTAGTAGTAGAGACCTCAGCACTGTCCTGGCAGGTGGCTGTGCCTCCCCAGTGATGGAGCCCTGATTCCTCACCCCACTGATAGCTGAGGCAGAGAGGGCAGTGCTTGACACAGCTGCAGGCTAGCACTTTCTCCAGCAGATGTTCTACTGAGGACAAACAGTGCCATGCATGGGGTGCAGAGTTCTGGCACTCACTGAGGACTATGGCTGGGGCCCAGGGTGTCCTCTCATCTCTCTTCTCTCCTTGCAGCACCTCCTGCTCCACCCCGGCTCTATACCCTGCATTCCCTGTGACAGATGAGGTGAACGAGTGTATGACATGCAGCCCCTTGGAGTATACACCTCTCACACTAGGACCACTAATATTCTGCCCAGAAGATGCTATTTTAAGGGCTCATTGTAGTCATTTGTTCTAAAATATCTTAACAGGGCTGCCTTAGTCCTGCCCACTGTGGGCTGGGCACCACGCAGGGCCTACATGTCAAATTGAGCAAAACAGTGCCTAAGGCATTTGACTGCTAACCAGAAGGCTGGCAGTTCAAGCCCACCAGCCACTCACTGGAAGGAAAACTGGGCAATCTATTTCCATAGTGATAACACCCCAGAAACCCAACGAGGGGTTGCTGTGAGTCAGATCCAACTTGACAGCAGTGAGTTTGGTTTTGGGTTTTGGTCCACACAGAGAAGGCCGCAGACCTCTTCCAAAATCCAATTGGGAAGGTGGGTCAAGAGTGGTCCCCACCCTTGCCTGTCCATCTGCCTGGTTATCCTGCACTTGCTGTAAGGACAAGTGAGGATGATACAGTCAGAAACAGGTGTGGCCAAGTTACTGCCCATGGGTGTCAGAGCCAGGGTCCTAGAACAGTGTTCCCAGAATATGCTCACAGGAGGTAAACAAGCATCTCAGGGAAGAGCAACTGGGCTTAAATAGGCACAAAGAGTCTGGATGAGCAAGGGGAGACCAGCGCCTTCCTTCAGGCTTCTCTGAGCCTCTAACATGCTGGGGAGCCACAGTGAATGTTCAGGTGTATCAAGATCCAGCATGCTCAGAACAAGCCTGATTATAGGGCCCCTTCTCCAGGGCACTGCAGGGTACTGGCCCTCAGAGTGGCTATATTATGTTGTTGTTGTTGTTGTTCTTTGCCATTGAGTCGACCTCGACTCATAGCGACTCCTCCTTGGGTTTCCGAGGCAGTATCACTAGGGAAGTAGGAATACCCAACCTTCCTTCCGAGGAGTGGCTGGTGGGTTTGAACCGCCAGCCTTCTGGTTAGCAGTCAAGTGCCTTAGCCACTATGCTACCAGAGCTCCTTATTATAGGGAATGCTTTATTGCAGGAGAGACAGTTTACCCCAAAAACCCACCCACAACTGGAAAGCAACCTGTGTGCATCTCTCTATACAAGCTGAGGACTTGGTGTCTCTTGAGTAAGAGGGAGGGATGGAAGGAAGTGAAAGTTGGTCCTTGGCCATATGATCTCAGAATATAAGCAGAAAACAGGGGAGTGCAGGGCACACCTCCCTCTAGGAGGCAACTTGACGGAACTTAAGTGTTAGGGGCTGCCCAGAAATGGCTGAGCTGGAGGAACCATCATACAGGTGGGCAGAGCCCTTCCCAGATGCTCCTCTGAATTAGCTCACCTGGTCGGCTCATCAAAGAACATGACGGGTGGGTTGTTGACCAGCTCCAGTGCGATGGCCAGGCGCTTCCGCTGGCCACCTGAGAGGCTGCCCGTCCGTGTGTTGGCACAGGACAGAAGGCCCAGCGCTGTCAGGATCTCCTTGACCTGCAGGGGCAATGCAGCCAGAGTTGCCATGAGGACCACACACCCAACTCATCCCAGCATGGTCCTGAAGGGGAAAGACCACTTACTCTCCCACAGGTGGAAACATTCCTCATCTTAAAACAAGGATGTATATATTGGGGCCCAACCAGGCTGCCTGTTGTCAAGGGAGTCATGCTCCATTCCCAGGTCAGAAGCCATGATTTTGGTAGCATTGCACAGAGGCTAAGAAGACAGTGTTGGAAATCCTGATCCAGATTCCATTAACATTCTTTAAAAACATGGAAAACCCAATCACTAATTTTATATGGGAAGTAAAGAGACCTAAGATAAGCAAAGCACTATAGAAGAAGAACAACAAAGTAGGAGGTCTCACATTCCCAAATTTCAAAACCTACTACACAGCCACAGTTGTCAAAACAGCCTGTATTGGTACAATGACAGACACATATATCAAAAAACCAAACTCACTGCCGTTGAGTCAGATCCGACTTGTAGCAACCCCTCCGTGGGTTTCTGAGGAAGTATCTCTATGGAAGTAGTTTGCCCAATCATCCTTCCAAGGAGTGGCTGGTGGGTTTGAACCACTGCCCTTCCAGTTAGCAGTCTATGCTACCATTGAGAACCCAGAAATAGATCCATCAATGTATGGTCAGCTGATCTTTGACAAAGGGCCAAAATCCATGAAATGGGGAAGAGATAGTCTCTTTCACAAATAGTGCTGGCAAAACTGGATACACATTTGCAGAAAAATGAAACAAGATCCATACCTCACACCATATACAAAAATGAACTCCAAATGGATCCAAGACTTAAATGTGAAACCTAAAACTATAACATTCATCAAAGAAAAAATAGGAGCAAACTTAGGGGTCCTAATTTATAACATAAATATATTATCAAACAACCCAAGATGCACAAACAAAAGAATATACACTGGATGATTGGGATCTTCTAAAAATTAAATTCTTACATGCATCAAAAATACTACTCCAAAAGAATAAAAAGAGAGCCTACAGAATGGAAAAAAATATTCAACAATGACATTATCGGACAAAGGAATTATCTCTAAAATTTATAGAAATCTCCAACACCTCAACATCAAAAAGACGATCTAATTTAAAAATGGGCAGAAGACATGAACAGACACTTCACCAAAGAAGATATTTAGGCAGCCAACAAACACATGAAGAAATGTTCACAATCATTAGCCACTAGAAAGATGCAAATCAAAACAACCATGAGATACTGTCTCACTCCAGCATTAATAGCAAAGTTTAACAAGACAGAAAATAACAAATGCAGGATCTCTGGTAGCATAGTGGCTGAAGCACTTGACTGCTAACCAGAAGGCTGGTGGTTCAAACGCACCAGCCACTCTTCGGAAGGAAGGTTGGGCAATCCTACTTCCGTAGTGATACTGCCTCGGAAACCCAAGGAGGGGTCGCTATGAGTCGGGGCCGACTCGACGGCACATAACAACAACAACAACAGTGCAAATGTGGAGAGATTAGGACTCTGGTGGGACTGTAAAATGATATAACCATTGTGGAAATCAGTATGGTGATTCCTTACAAAGTTGGAAAGAGAAATACCATTTGACTCAGCATTCCCATTACTAGGTATATATCCTAAAGAAGTGAGAGGCAAGATGCGAATAGATATATGTACACCCATGTTCATCGCTGCACTATTCACAATAGCAAAGAGATGGAAACAACCTAGGTGCCCATAAGCGGAGGAATGGATAAACAAACATAGTACATATACACAATGGAATACTATGCAACCCTAAAGAATAACATAGAATCTGCAAAACACCTCATAACATGGATGAACTTGAAGACATTATGCTGAGTGAAATAAGTCAATCACAGAAGGACAAATATTGTATTAGTCCACTATTTTAAAACATCAAGGAAAGGTTTGCACATGGAAGGAAACTTGCTTTGTTGGCTACCAGGGAGGGGAGAGGAGGGAAAATTTCTAGACAGGTTGGGGGAAAAAAAAATTGTATATTGTGGTATAGTAAATTACTTAGTGTGGCTTTTCTAGCCATGTCTTTATAAACTCTGTGGTGGAATTTGCTGTGAGCAACTGAGGAGCTCCTGATTGTAAAAGTTATCCAGCTGGGGTATTTCTGTTGGGCACAACACAAAGCAATGTTCTGGGAGGTTCCTGCTTTCTCTCAGGTGGTTAGAATTCTGATGTTATGATTAGCTAGTTTGGCCACTCTGCTAGGCTCAAAAGGAGGCCTACTAGAGGCAGAAGTCTCTCTCTGACTGCTGGTTGAGGAAGACGTGCTGCTGAAAGAGACACACGCTCCTGAAAGAGACACACACTGCTGGGAAAAAGACACAAGAGACATGCATTGCTGAGTGAGACACCAAGGGACACTCACTGTTGGGAGAGAGACTGTGAGAGGCTGTTAGGAGAGAGACTGTGGCCTGGGAGAGAGACTGCACATTTTTCCTGAACTTGAATCGTAGCCTGGTGCTTCCCTAATAAACCCCATAATCTAAGTTCTGTGTGGCCACTGCAGTGAATTATCGAAGCCAGGAGAGAGGTGGTAGGTGCTGTGAGAGGAACGGTTGGTGAAAGGGCTGGAGGGAGGCAGCATGTCTGACTTTGCAGTAATAGGCCTTGGGCTATTGATGATGCTCCTATCTTCCTCTTGTGGGGTTAGAGGAGGTTGGAAGATGTGTCCTCCCTGCCCTTTTTGCATATATATATATATACACATATATAATACCAAAGATTATTAGTGGTTACCAGGTGTAGGAGGGAGGGGAAAAGGGGAAGCTTTTGTTTGTGGGGCATTGAGTTTATGTTAATAGGTGGTAGGATATTTTGGAAAAAGATAGTAATAATGGTGGCATAACATGAAAAATGTAATCAATATTCCTGAACTGTAAATGTGGAAGTTGCTGTGTTGTGTTGGTGAATGTCTTGCTGTATATGTTTTCAGCACAACAAAAGTAAAAAAAAAAGAATGTTGGAGTCAGCTCCACTTGGGTTTCAGGAACAGGGTAAGTTCGATATACATCTATTTTTGTCATTGTCAGTTGCCATTGAGTCCATGGCAACTCCAGGTATGCAGAGTAGAGCCGTTCCATAAGGTTTTTAAGGCTGTGACCTTTCAGAAGCAGGTCACCAGGCCTATCTTCCACGAGCCTCTGCATAGGTTCAAGCTGCCAATATTTCAGCTAGTAGTAGAATGCTAAACTGCTTGTACCACCCAGTAATGCAAGTACCTGTTGGGTGGATGGATTAATGGATAAATAAGTAGATGGGTGATCAGTTTTCTGATCAGCACAAAAGGGGTCATGATAGTAGCACAGGGTCACTGTGATGGTTAGATGAGAAAATGAACACAACTTGCTCAGCATGATGCTGGGCACACAGCAAGCATTCAACCCATGACAATTATGAATGATAGGAACATTGTTCTTGTTAATGGGAAGGACAGGGTGTGGTGGTTCAGTGATAGAATTCTTGCCTTCCATGTGGGAGGCCCCAGTTCAATTCTTGGTGGATGCACCTCATGCATGCCACCACCTGTCTGTCAGTGGAGGCTTGTATGTTGCTATGATGCTGAACAGGTTGCAGCAGAGCTACAGACTAAGGTAGACTAGGAAGAAAGGTCTGGTGATCTACTTCTGAAAATCAGTTCATGAAAACCAAATGGATCACAACAGTCCAAACCCCAGCTGATCATGAGGATGGCCCAGGACTGGGCAGCGTTTTGTTCTATTGTGTGTGGGGCTGCCAGGAGCCAGGAGCCTACTTGACAGCAGTTAGCAATGGAGAGTCCATGAACGGAGCTCCTGCAGACATACAAAAGTACACACCAGGCCTCTCGGAAGGAGGGAAGGGAGTCACTTCTGCATTTATAAATAGGAATCCAGGTCTCTGAATGGCAGATAGGCCTTTAGCTGACTCGCAAGGATGTCTGATTAAAGCAGTCACCACTCCTCCAAGTGTCCATGCTAGCTCCCCACCACTGGGAAGCAGGCTAGACACCAAGATAGGAACAGTGCACTGTGGACGAGGCCTCCCTGTCTGCTCTGAAGATTGATTCAGGATGGACTCCAGAATGGAAAGGTCAGCGAACTCCCACATGCCTTGTTACTGGTTAACTTGGGTTTGTCAGTCTCAGCAGCCAGCAGCTGAATGAAGAAAAGCCTTCAGCTTCAGAGGGCCAGGAGCAGGAGGCAGAACTGAAGCCCAAGGTTGAGGGGCTTTCACCCAGCCCCTAGAGCCTGGCACTTTGAAATTGGACTTAACGCTTCCAAATTGTAAGAATAAACTCCGGTTTGTTAAAGTCATCCCATTTGTGGTATATTTCTGTCAGAGTGGCACTAGGGAACCAAAACAGAGGTCTTGCTTCTGTCCTCTGTCCACTTTCTATCCTGTATGGACCACAGCTGCTGGTTTTCCCAGAAAAAAGGCTCAAGTGGTTCTCTTCAACACTGGCCAAAGTCACAGGATGATTGGTTGTTCCCAGCTTGTTTCTGTGGCACTCCACAAAAATGGCACACCCTCTTTCCCCACTCCCTATCCTTTAGTCCCCATAGTCGGACAGGCTTCAAGACCAACTAGTACTTTGGAGTTCCTGGTGGTGCAAACAGCTAATGTGCTTGGCTGCTTCAGAGGTACCTCAGAAGAAAGGCCTGGTTATCTACTTCTAAAAATCAGCCAATGAAAACCCTATGTATCTCAATGGTCGGATCCCATTGTGCGTGAGGTTGCAATGAGTTGGCAGCTGACTCAATGATGGCTAACAGCAACAACAGCAATAGGGCATGAGACTCAAGGTGGTACAAATAGTTAACAGGCTCAATTGCTAACTGAAAGTTGGAGGTCTGAATCTACCCAGAGGTACCTTGAGAGAAAGGGCTGGTAATCTACTTCTGGAAAATTTGCCACTGAAAACCCTATGAGCACAGTTCTACTCTGATACACACTAGGTCATCACAAGTCAGGGATGACTTGATGCCAGT